TGTATGATAATTTGTTGATTATGACATGTTTCCGTGAAATGGTCTGGTCTGTGAATTATGAAAAGACGAAAAAAATTAAAATAATAAATTTTGCGTTATCATAAAATATAAATGTTTCTAGCAAAAAAACCCAGACCGTGTAATCTTTTTTTTTTAAAAAAAATCATCTTAAAATCACAATCGCTCGTCCAAATTTAAATAAGATTTTATATTAATACTTTTTTTAGGTGAAATGAACATTATAGTTTAACAATATGATCTGTTCTGATCGTTTATTGGCAATTATTTATAATTAGAAGCTCTTTCTTGGTCGGAATTCCAGTATTTTTTGTAAAAATTGATAGAAATATTGTGTTTTGACAACTATATATAGTTAATATACATCAGAACCAATTAGAACTAGGATCAGTAGTATATTGAGTAACTTTTTAAAAAGATTTTAATTAAATAAAGTAGCCGTGGCGCAGTGGTAGCACACTTGTCTCAGAAACGTAAGATCCGTGGTTCAAACCCCGCCTCTGGGCAAGTTTTGCGACATCGGTTGGGAAGGAGGCGTGAACTTCCTATTAAATGCTCTTCCGCGGTGCTCTGTGATAAGACCGTAAGGATTTCTTGGGGCACCTAAAATCAACATAAAAAAACAAAAAAAAAAAAAAAAAAAAAAAAAAAATTCATATTAATGTCGATGAGCGAAATTGATCTAAAGACTCCAAAATAGTGTTCTTTAGATACATTATTACGGTTTGTAAAAAGGTTTTAAAAATTATATATAAAAAAGAAAAGTTCCTTCAAATATTATAAAAACCTTAAGCAAAAAAAATTATAACATATAAAGATCTTGTTTGGGCATAATATGCTGACAAAACCATGCTAATTCCAAATAAAAGTATTCAAATATTTTGTAAATCGCCTTAACTACACCGAGTAGGCTGTGTTTATCACCATCCTAACATAAATAATGAATTTAATGTTTCATATTTAGTTATTCCATTAAAAAAACTTACTTTTGAAAAAAATTAAACTATCTTTATAATGGGTGATTTTAATATAAACCTCAGATAATTCATTCTCAAGGTAGTATTTGAGCACCATTGCTTCAAACAACTTTCTTCCTTAAATATCCATACTGACCAGGAATTACCAATTACTAAAGTATTAATTGTAATTCAACTTCTAAAGATATTTTTTCCGTTAATTTAACTATTAGAATATGGAATCATTTGCCAAAGTCTCTAATTTATTCATCTTTTAAAGAAAGAATTGTTCATTCTCGTAAAAGCACTATTCTTCTTTGAAACTTGAAAAAATTAAATAGTGAAGAATTCAGAAATGATTAATTAAAAATCAACAAGGATAAAATAATCAAAGTTTCCAATGATAATAGTATTAAATCATATGAAGATTTCTTCATAATCTTTAAGTCTCATCTAAACAAACACTAAAAATACTAAGTAATCCTGGCTTAACTCTAAAAATACTAAGTAATCCAGGCTTAACTCTAAAAATACTAAGTAATCCAGGCTTAACTCGGAGTCTTAAACCATGAATTACTTCAGCAATTTTAACCTCGATAAAAAAAACAAAACAATGTATTTAAGAAGTTTCTTTAAACAAAAAAATTACATTACAAACTAATTCTTGAAAAAACTTACAAAACCTAGAGAAATTTAATTGTAATGCTTAATCAAAGAAGCAAAAAGAACAACTTTTCTAACGACATTATTACCAATAGTAATAGTTTGAGAGCTACGTGAAAAGGTATTAGAACTATTTTGAATATATTTGGATGACATCTCATATCCATCTTGTTTATCTTCAAACAACACCATTATAAATGACTCAGTTAAAATCTCGGAAATTTTCAACTCCTTTTTTTATTTCAATCTCTGAAGAACTGCCAAAATACATTTATTCATCCATTACTGACTTCTAAAAGTATTTAAAAATATCAAACCCTGACTCTTTTTTCATTAAACCTACTGAAAAAAATATCAGTTATTCTTTCTCTAAATGATGGCAAGGCTTTTGGTCCAAACAGTGTTCCAACCTTTATTCTAAAACTTTGTTAATAATGATATTTCTACAGAACTTTCTAAACTATTTAATCTCTCATTTGCCACTGGTGTAGTCCCTAATATTTTGAAAACTGCATCTTTTAAACCAATCCATAAAAAAGACTCAAGACTTGACTGCAAAAAATATAAATCAATATCATTATTATCAAATATCAGCGAAATTCTTGAAAAATCAATGTATTCTCATATCTACCACTTTCTTGATAATTTTAAGTATTTCTACAGCCGCCAGTTTGGATTTCGTTTAAAACACTATACTTCTCATACACTTATTACCATTACTGAAATGATTCGTGGTTCCATTAATAGTAGTTCTTTTGCTTGTAGAGTCTTTATTAATCTCCAAAAAGCATTTTATAAAGTTGACCACAAGATTTTAATTGAAAAGTTGTATCACTATGGTATATGGGGTATCGCTAATGATTGGTTTTCATCGTATGTTAATTATTGTACCCAGTTTATCCCAAATAAGGGGTTTCAATTCACAAGTATAGTTATTGAGTATGGTGTCCCACAGGGTTCTGTTTTAGAGCCTTTACTGTTTTTAATATATATTAACGATCTGCCCCTATAAATAATTTGATTGCTCATCATTTCACTAACGACACTAATAATCTATGCATAAACAAAATACTCGCGTGGCTTTGTAAAAAAGTTAATTCAGATCTTCTTCATTTGTGTCATTGGTTAAATAATAACCATATCTCTCTAAACATCAATAAAACTGAACTTTTTATTTTTCACCCTACAAAAAAAAGATTGATTATAATAATGTGAAAATTAGAATTAACGGCAAAAGACTTCTCCCACCTAAATAAATAATTATAAACTCCATTGGCTAGTTTTTAACTATATGAGTAACACTTAACCTTATTTGTGTGAGTTTATAATATATCATTGAAAATTGTTCATATTTTATGGCTAAATATATGGAATATATATATATATATATATATATGTATATATATATATATATATATATATATATATATATATATATATATATATATATATATATATATATATATATATATATATATATATATATATATATATATATATATATATATATAAATACATAAACTTAACTCTTTTACGGTTATTCTTATTTTTTTAACTCTTTTACGGGTCTGTGGCAAGACCTTTACGTCTTTTTGGAGCATCTTAATAACCAGAAAATAACAACACAGCTATTTATTTTTTTCTTTTTTCAAATGATTTACGAATCAAAGTCTATTTGCAAGTTTTGTATATTTAATATGCAATTAACTCGTGTGAGATGTTTTAACGTCTAAGGAGTTGTCCAAAAATTACGTTCATTTATTTTTGACATTTTTTGACCCCCTCCCCTTGTAAAGTATCATAACATTTTATTTACCTTCCCCCAATATTACTCAACATTTTTGTCTCTAACCCCCCCCCCCTTATTTAAAAAAGTTACTTAATTAGTACTTTTCAGTCTCTTTAATCTTTTTTTTCACAGAATGTTACAGCCGTAGACGCAACTCGTTGCGCCTACGGCTATTACAGTCCGTTAACAGGCTGTAACTACTGCGTTAACGGAGTGTACACATCGATTAAGTAAGATTTAGGCCCAGTTGATCTTACAATCAACATGTACATGTTGTCTACATGTGTAAATACATATGTAGATACATCAACTGAGGGTTGTGGTTTGGTCGGATACTCTTTTAATTTAAAGAAAGTTTTCTCTAGATTTAAAATTAAAAAAAAAACAATGTTGCGTCACAAAATCGGTGACTCCCTCACCTCCCCTCCTCATGTATCAAAACACCTTCCCTCTCCCCCCTTCCCTAAAGCGTGTCGTAATACTTAAAAAGCTCCTATTTTACATTGTACAACTTTAATTAATATTTATTTATTTTTATTTGTTTATTTGAACTTTTCATCACCCAAATTACAGGTAAAACAAACAAAGTATATAAAATTATTAGTTTAGACTTTAAGTCTAAAGTCTAATGTTCTTTGTTCTCTGAATTAGTCTTTGTTCTCTGATTTTCCAGAATTCAAAAGAATGGTTCAAAATTATATATATTGTCCTCCTACGTCATCTGCCACTATATATATTGTCTCCTAAGTCATCGTAGCGATGCTTAATCGCAATTTTTTTTTTCTCTATGAAACACTGGACGAAGTTTAGCTCAAGTTTATTGCAAATTTTATTTACTCCGTTGATAAATAGGTTATCTTTAATAACATCAGATATCTGAGTCAGGTAAAAACAAGTCGGATTGTTCAGTAGTCTGATATGCAATTATTATTATGAAAGTATTATTATCAATATTATTATAAATATTATGCAAAATTTTAAATTATTCAAAACGAGTAGTTTAATATTTTTAATAACTTTAAATAAAACTTCGAATTTAATTTCAATATATTTTAATATTTTATAAGTTTAAGTGAACTTTTATAACTAAAAGAAGCACCCTCGTTTTTAAAAGTAGCACCCTCCTTTTTTCAAAGAAGCACCCTCGTTTTTAAAAGAAGCACCCTCGTTTTTAAAAGTCGGTTGTGTCAACAATATAGGAAGGGTGGAGTATGTAGAAGTTCAAAAATCAATGATATGATGTTGGGAGAAAGTAAGTATACTATATTGACGTGTAAAGCTTTTTCTAAATTAATTATTCATTGATTTTAATTAATTAATAGACGCCATCCTATAGTAATTTTAAATTACTCAATTTTTGATTTTTTAGTAATTATGTGTTTTTCGACAATAATTTTTTAAAGTTTTTTACTTTTAAATTTTTTAACTTTTGATTAATTCTCATTCAAGAATTTTCAATTATCATATTATAGCGTTTGGGCGTAATGTAATTAATTTTTTATATTGACTTTTCCTTAACGAAAAAAAGATTTTGTGAACGAGGTTCCACCAGTTGCGTATTTTAATTGTGCATTTTAGTCCTTTGTCCGTCTTTCTGATCTCGATGTTGGATATTATCAAAATCGTCATATCAAAGTAACCGTTGACATGCAAGTCAAGTTGCTCCGTTCACGCCAGAAAAAGAAAATCTAAAAAATGACACCTGGTCTGATTATGAGTTTTAAATTAAATATTTATCTTTTTTTTTTTTGGTAACGTGATGATCTCGAAAAACGAACTTAGCTAACTCATTTTAACATGATAAAAGTTACTCTTTTTCACTTCGATCGCAATTTTCTCCATTCGGTTTTGAGGTTTAAATTGAATCTAAAAATGCTTTGCTGAAATGTTAGAATTAGGCATGTTATCATCAGTATTGAATTCTTGAGACATTTTTATGAAATAAAATATTTTAAAGCTATCCTGTTTATTTTTTGTAATGCAATCAGCCACATATTACTTTTGCATATAAAATACTAATTTATCAAATATCAGTATGTCTTATGAAGACTTAAAGCAAGAAGTCAGTCGCTTGGCACTGGAGCTTCAAAAGGCCTGTCTTGAGAAGGTCCAAGCTGCTGAATACGGCTTAGCTGTACTTCAAGAAAAAGAAGTTTTGCAAAATCAATATGATGACATAAAACTTCAGTATGATCAAGTAAAAGAGGTATAAAGTCATATAGTTTATTATTTGTTTTGTGCATTATATTAACAAATACAAAAGAGGTTTTACTTCAAGAAAAGTTGATACTTTTTTTCTGAATGTTAAAATTTTTGTAGATTTTATTATAAATTTTAAGCTTTTGTAAATTGTCATTTTTTAAGACTTTTATATGTAATAATTGTACAAGGATTAATGGTTAGTTTTTTAGATAATTTATAAAATTGATGAATTATGCATTTGAAAATATATAATACCCTGCAGCAATAAAATGGTAAAATTTTCTTGCTGCAGTATTCCAAATTTTGTAAGTCATAAAGCAGTTTTTTGTTTATGATTAAAGCATTTTACTTTTAAGAAGTAACTGACCAAGGACATGGTCTCAGTTCCAAGGACATGGTCAAGGACATCATTTCAGTAGTACGGTTAAAGTATTTTATTTTTAATAAGTAACTGACCAAGGACATGGTCTCATAAAATAGTGCTAGGAGTTATGAAATACCACTAGTATGTTTGTTAAGTTCAAAGGTTAAACACATACTTCTATATGTTTAACCTTTTGATTTATTATTTACTAAGCTCTAATGGTATCCTGAAACTATTTTGATTTGCTATACTTAACCTCTTAACTGTTCATTGCATTAGTTTTTTGAGTTAACTATTTAACTTTGATTAAACAAACTATTTAACACATTTTTATTTATTTTTGTTAGGCTTATGTAATAGTTATAATTTTGAAAATTTTTTAATGTAATGTTAAATTAAATAGCAAATGTTTTCGAAATCATGCATCATAGTTACAAAAATTTAAACTAAAGTTTCATTAAATATACTCACTAATTGCAAATAGAATAAATATATAACAAATTGAAGTTTAGAAATACTAATTTTGGGACACTCTCTGTGTCCCAAAGCCAATATGCAACAGCAAGTACAATGTAGCTGCAAGTACAGCGTACTTCAAGATTCATAAGGATTGTACAGTTACAGCGTACAATCCTTATGAATCTCTTACACTCTGCTATATTAAGAAAGATTTTAAGTTAATGAAGCTATTTATAGATTGCCAAAACATCATTGGAATAAAAATTGGTTTCTGGTTTCAACTTTCATTGAACCACTGATCAAGACAGAAACAGCAATAAAAGTTTCAAGCATTGAACAAAATAGTAACATTAGACTTTTCTGCTTTAAACGCGTTTCACGAGGCCTTATCAACTAAAAGAGAAATCTCTGTATTTTAAAAGATTCAACTTTAAGTAGGTCAAATCAGAACTCATAATTTTTAAGTATGCAAATACTCAAAAAATCTTCAAAAATTATGACAACCAACATAAGCAGATGTTGAATGTTGAACTGTTTGAATTTTTGAACCAAATTAAGATTGGTTATCTCAACAAAATTACTTAAAGTGCTTGTATTGTTGAAATTTTATTATAAGAACTAAAATTGTTCTGTTTAAATGCTATTTGCTCATATTAGTGATATGATATAATAATAATTTTTAAAATGCAGAAAGTAACACAAAAATACTGTTAACATTTTTTTTTTTAATTTAAATTTAAACAGTAACACCATTTTTTCTGAATGTATTAATTTTTGAAAAATCCTTTTTATTAGACCCTACGTTTGTAAAAACAATTTAAAAACTAGTAAAAACTAAAACTCAATGGAGTATTATATTTTCTACAATGTGCATTAAAAATGATTTATTACATTTTGCGAACTTCAGACAAATTTTTAAATCTAACTCTATTGAGTATGGAGAGACTCAAGCTTGACAGATAAACCAGGTCCAATGTTTACTAGGGTGGCTCTTAAAACAACTTTTTTGAGAAAAACCTGCTCTGACTCCTTTAATTTGTTCTATATAAAAAACACTAGGTTTAAAATTTTTTTGAGCAAAAAATATTTTTAGGGATAGCTCAAGATCCTCAAAAGTTTGACAGAGCAGGTTTTTTTCAAAAAAGTTGTTTTAGGAGCCACCCTAATGTTTACAATGCATTTTTAAATTTTCTCAAGGAGAAAAAGAACGTTATTGGAAGAAGCAGCCCAAATATGATAACAATATTCAATACAGGGCAAATAAGAGATTTGCGAGAAAAGGAATAAAATTAGTAAGATGATAGCGAACACAATAAAAAGAAGCAAACTTAACAGATGCTAATTTTGTAATGAATTGTATAGATAGTTTTCACGAGAGGTCAGTAGTGAACCATAATCCGAGAAGATGTAAAGAAGAGGACTTAGTTAAAGGGTTGGATTCATTAATATAGGGATGTTGACAGTATTGCGATAGGCGTTTGCTGTGAGTAACTGAGTTTTGTTGGAATTGAAATTCACAAGCTAGAGTGAGACCTGATTTAAAATCAGCTGCCTGCTCTAAGCGTTCAAAAAATAAAAGTCAAAACAGGAGTATAAAGTTAAGTCAACAAATAGATTTAAGGTTATCATTAAGGGTCATTAATGTAGGTAAAAGGCAATACAAGACCAAGGATAGAACCTTGAAGTTCCCTAGAAGTTACTGGAAAGGAAGAAAAGTATTGGCCTTCGAGAATGTCTTAAATAAAGCAGTTAGAAAGAAACAATTTAATAATCTCAAAAAATTTCCCCATACAAAACCATATGAAACAAGCTTATGGAGAAGGCCATCATTAAAAGAAAGGTTATAGAGTGAACCGGTGCTAAGTGGAAGCACATAAAATAATGGTCAGAGGATTAAAACCTAATTTCTTGACAAATAGGTGAGTTGATGCCTAAGTATACCCCCAAGCCAAGCAAGTGACTATTTAAATCTTTGCGATTCAAAAGAAAGTAACCATCAATACTGAGATCTGAAGAAGGAATAGCTGAATTTAAATTAATCTCACATAGAGCAAGCAAGTCTGGTGAATTTTGCAATAGGTAAGATTCAATTGATAGAACATAGTTACTTCAAAGAGTTACACAAATTTTTGTGAAAGATATATTAAAACAATTTGGTGGTGGGAATGGTTTTTTATGTTTAATACTTTTGGTTACTTTAGGAATGGTTTAGTTTTATCAGGTTTCGACTCATTTATAAATTGAACACAGTATATCTCAAGCAATGAGCTATGCAGTTATTGAAATAAATTATGATATATATTATCCTTTGAATTCCTTTTACTTTTTTTTTTTTTTTTTAAGAAGCAAAAATTTTGAATAAACTTGAACTAAATTTCTTAAAGATTTTACTTTTTCAATGTGCAATTAAGTTCTTGAAAAAAACTACACAAGTTGGTTTATTAAATCTTATAGTTAGGCAATTTATATGTCAAATTTATAAGCAAAATTAGGAAATGGTATAAATTGGCAAATAAGTTAATTAATATATAATGAGGTTGCTCAAAAAAATTTACAAAATATTATCCAAATTTTAACTCTTGATACAAAAATTTCTTTTTTTTTTTTAGCAATTAAACCTTATGAGTTTAAAGAATGAAAAGCTAACCAACTGTACAGAGCAAGGTCAAGGGAATTTATTGCATGAGATTTCAACAAGAGAATCTCTTTTAGTAAAAGAAATATCTGATTTAAAATATGAGTTAAAATGCTGTAAGAAATCTGATCGTGCGAATCGTCATGAGTTGGAAATCCACAAAGAGGAATTTACACAACTTCATGAAGAATTGATTAAAACAAAAGAAAAAACTGAACAACTTATTCATGAAAACAAAGAATATAAAACAAAGGAAATAAAGTTCAATGAAGATTACAACATGCTTGAGGAGGAAAACACTTCACTTCAAAAAAGTATTTCTAAACTGAAACAAACTTTAATCGAATTTGAAGGGATGAAAGTAGAAAACAAGAGCCTATTGGATGAGGTATTGTTTTGAAAACAGTTTATTTTAAAAATTTTTTGTTTTATGACGTTATTTTCTTTTTGATTTATGATCTTATTTATTGTCTTGAAAGTTGTTTAAAATTAGTGCTATGATTTTTTAATTATATTTTTAAAACAAATTATTTACATTTTAACTACTTTTTTTTTCCTAAAGAACTAGATAAATATGTATGTATGTATGTATGTATGTATGTATGTATGTATGTATGTATGTATGTATGTATGTATGTAATTATGTATGTATGTATTTTTTTTTTTTTTTTTTTTTTTAACATTTTCACTTCGAACAAGGCTGCAAGCAACCACTATAAGAGTTGGAAGTTACTGGAAGAGAGAAGACTAAATCAGTAGAGCAAGATAACGATTGACTGATGACTTAAAAGATTGCAAATTATATGAATCAGGAAAGCAAGATGAAGGAAGCGAATTCCAAAGAACTGATGTTCGAGGAAAAAAACTAGAAGAATAAGAGTTTTTGAAGCACTTAGGAACAGTCACAGAAAAAGGATGAGACTTAATTGAATGGCGAGTAACACGAGAATGAATTTTAGTAGATGGCACAAGGGACGCTAGCTCTTTAGAGCAGTGCCCATTATAGTATTTGTAGAAAAGAGAAAGAGAAGCAACATTACGACGATGTGACAAAGGTTGGAGATTGGCTGCCAGAGCAGGTCCAACTATGTTTACAATTCGTTTTTGCACCTTGTCTAAAAGAGAAAGAGCATCATTAGAAGATCCGCCCCAGATGTGGCAACAGTATTCCATACAGGGACGGATTTGAGATTTATAGAGATAGAGAATAGAATCTGGAGTAAGAAAGTGTCGAGCTCGATAAAGAGATGCAACCTTAGCAGATGCTAATTTTGCAATGGATTTGATATACGGTTTAAAAGAAAGATCAGAAGTAAGAGTTAATCCTAGAAGATGAATGGTAGATGACTCATCTAGTACATTACCATTCATAAATATAGGAAGATCTAAATTATTACGATAACGATTGGCCAAATAAAATTGAGTTTTATCTGAATTAAAGTTCACCAGCCACTGTGAGCCCCATGCTGTAGCAGAAGTGAGATCCTTTTCAAGCTCAGATACCCCCTCCAAGCAATCAGAGAGTGTAGGCTTAATTATCATGACAAGAGTAAATGGTAGTGTCGTCAGAGAATAATGCCACCTTAGATGTGAGAATATCTGGAAGATCGTTAATGTAAATTAAAAAGAGTATAGGGCCAAGGATTGAACCTTGAGGAACCCCTGAAGTTAAAGGATGTGAAGAAGAGTGTTGTCCATCGAGGACAACTTTTATACTACGATTGGAAAGAAAGGACTCAATAATCTTAAAGACGTTACCAGCTACACCATAAGAAGAAAGCTTATGGAGAAGACCAGCATGCCAAACTTTATCAAAAGCTTTAGAAATGTCAAGTGCGATAGCCTTAACCTCTCCACCTCTATCTAATGCACGGTAAAACCTGTCGGTTATTACTGTTAGCACATCAGCTGTAGAACGAGAAGACCGAAATCCATATTGATGATCAGAAAGTAATTTATTTGATTCAAGATGAGAGATTAAGTGTTTGTTGATTAAAGATTCAAAAGCCTTGCTTATGACAGGAAGAAGACTAATGGGACGGTAGTTAGATGAATCAGATCGCTCTCCGGAATTTTTGAAAATAGGGATAACAGATGCTGCTTTCCAGCATGATGGAAAACAAGACTCTGATAAGCACTTGTTAAATAGTTTAGAAAGTATGGATGAAAGCTCCGGAGAACACCTCTGCAAGACTACAACAGGAATGTTGTCAGGACCACAAGCTGTTGAAGAGTCTAAGCAGGAAATTACTTTAGATACAGAAGCTGAAGTGATGCGAATGTCAAGCAAGGGATCAACCTGTTTGACGGCTATGTCAGGTAAAACGCAACTAGTGGAATCAAGAGATGATATTGATGAAAAGTTCTTAGCAAACAATTCAGCTTTGTCTTTAGGTGAGGTGACAAAGTCTGAACCATACAAGAGAGAAGGAATAACAGATTTGCCCTTATTATTGATACTGTTAAAGATTCTCCAGAAGTCTCGAGAGCCTAATTTTTGTGATGAGATACGAGATTTAATGACCTGGGAATAGCGAGCTTTGGCGTCAGACAAAACCTTTTTACAATGGTTTCTGGCGATAATGAACAGATGTCTGTTTTCTGGAGAATTGTTTTGCTGATAGATATGGAAGTAACGGTTTTGATTAGAAATTGCTGCAGCGCAATGTGAGAAAAACCAAGGAGAAGAGTGAGGCTTGACCTGGAATCGTCGAGAGGGAATAAAAGATTCCATGCCAGCCTGAATCCACGAAGTTATGTAAGAAGCACATTTGTCAGCAGGAAGACGAAATATTTCTACCCAAGGGCCATCACGAAGAAAATCACGGAAAGAGTCCCAGTCAGCTTTAAGGTAGTTGTATGTGGTACGATGATAGGGGGATTCTGATGAAGTAGAAGAATTTGATAATAGTTTTAGAGAGATCAAACCGTGATCAGAAGTACCTAAGGGTGAATGTGGAGAAATTGAGCACTGACTAGGATCCAAAACAAGACATAAGTCGAGTAGAGAAGGTAAATGATTAGGGTTGTCTGGAAAACGAGTTGGAAAGTTGACTATTTGAGTTAGAGATTGAGAAAGGCAAAAGTTGAGGGCCTTAACGCCAGCAGTATCACTGACACTAGAGCCAAGCCAATCGGTGTGATGGGCATTAAAGTCACCAACAACGACGATATTTGCCAATGGATAAAGAGAGAGGGCTTGGTCAATTTGGTCAGAAATAACATCAAGAATAGTGCAATCTTGGGATGAAGGAGAGCTATATAGAACAAAGAGAAAGGCGATAGAGTGAAGTTGTGCTAAACGAAAGCACATAAATGAATAGTCTGTAGATTCAAACCTAGTTTCACGACAAATGGGTGAGTTCTTACGAATGTAGATGCCCAGGCCAAGCATGTGATTATTGGAGTCTTTACGAATTAAAGGAAGATAACCATCAACACTAAGATCACAAGATGGGACAGCCGAACTCAAATTAGTCTCACAAAGAGCAAGTAGGTCTGGTGAACTTTACAAGAGATAAGACTCAACAGAAGAAAAGTTACTTCGAAGACCACGAATATTAGTAAATGATAGGTTTAGAGAACTTGGTGATGACGATGGTTTTTTGTGTTTTTTAGTTTTAGGTACTTTAGTCATTTTAAATTTATAAAGAACTTGACTCAAGTATAGATAGTACTCAGTACACTATTTAACAACTAAGCAATAGCCTCATTACTATTAATAAACCCTAAGCCGTAACAAAGGGCTCCAAATGTGGCCTCTGCAATGCACACCAAAAGTACAAACAGGGACACCATCCATGCGCAACATGGCACTGTTAGTACTCTGATATTTTTCGGCTGTTGATAGAATCAGCCTCTCTGAGAGCTACCACAGAGTTCGGGAAACCTGACTACCAGCCGGCCTCAGAACCGTAAAACTGAGTTTTAGAGCTGTACCCTCATTAGGAGATAATAGAATGAGTTGCCCAGTCATAAAAATAGAGACACAAGCAATACCCATGCATTGAGTCAAGAAGATCCAGCGTTCAACATCCTAAACTGGAAACAATGTATTAAAAACACATCTGCGCCAGCTTAATAGATGAGGAAGGGGTGCGAGGCTGGTCAACAGATAGAATCTGTTTACCCCTTAAGTCTTTGCCTAGGAGGCCTTCTACAAGACAGCAGCTGGATGCATGTAACATCTGCCCAAGATGAGTATTTTTATCGAGACACCATCTCTAGCCTTTACTCAACCAAGAGCCCCAAGGCAGGGGGTGTTTTAATTCGGAGTTAACTTCTCCTAACCTTTGCCTAAAAAAGCGTATCCTACAAGGCAGCAGGACATGGAGCAGGTTGTACTGGGTTACATGTTACCAGTAGCAGGAAAACCTGACCTGACCTTAATATATATATATATATATATATATATATATATATATATATATATATATATATATATATATATATATATATGTATATGTATATGTATATGTATATGTATATATATAATAACATATCGGGTGGACACGGAAAAATCCGGTCAACTTTAAATTGAGATTTCTCTAAAACCATAAATGCTTTTTATTTCAATTTTTTAATTATTAAATGTGTTTACATAAATTAGAGTTTCAACTTAATTTTAAGGGGCTTGATGGGTTGCTTGGCAAGAAATCGAACTTTATAGCGGGTTGATGCCATCATTTTACAGGTTTTTTCTTTTTTCACCATATTGGTGGCATTAATCCACTTTTTTTGGAAGTCTTTCTTTTTATTTGTTAGTCCACGTGGCTTACAAAGAACTCTTTTAACTATTGCCAAAAAATCTTCAATCTTGCGCTCTTCAGGACGATTTGGAGGATTCGCATCTTTAGGAACAATTTTCACATTATTATCTTTGCACCACTGTAAAACTTTTTTAGAATAGTGAGAGGCAGCAAGATCGGGCCAAAAGAGACATCAGTATTTGTGTTTTTTTATAAAAGGCAAAAGTCTTTTTTGGAGGCATTCTTTGATGTAGAGATTGGCAGTCAAGGTCTTTTTAGTGACAAAACAATAGAACTGCATACCACAGCTACAAATTGCTTGCCACACAAGGAACTTAGATGCAAATTTCTCTTGTCAACTATATTTAAATTGATCATCGACAGGTTTATCTTTGTTTTCATAGTAAAACTGTTGACCAGGAAGTTGTGAAAAATCCGCCTTGCAATATGTTTCGTCGTCTTCAATTATGCACATATTTTTATACGCCATTATTTAACCAACTTCTTTGCGCGTCGAATTCCTTTAATTTCACAATTTAAGCTTCTCTTTGGTGTATTTTTTTATGAAATGCTTTAATTCCAGCTTTTTTAAGTACTTTTTTGATATAAGAACGAGAAGTCTTAAATTGCTAGATCTCGCTGTGACTGATTTGGATTTCTTGCTATTGAACGTAAAATCGACTTTACCTTTTTGGATTTATGGAAAGTTTTTTTTCTTCCGCTTCGAAGTTTTCTTTCAAAGCTTTGAGTAGTCTTGAACATGTTTATAATATCTATGACTGTAGATTTTGGGACATTTGTGCGTTTAGCAATCAAGCAATAGGAAGTTAATGGATTTTTGCCAAAAAAATCACAACTTTTTTACGCACCTCAACTTGTTTTCAAAACATTTTGCAAATCATTAATTTGTAAACAAAAATTTATCAACACCATTTAAGATAAGGAAGTAAGGTTTAATTAAAAAAAAAAAATGAAATTGCTACTAGAATTTCCATAGCACACAATGTTTTCAGATAAAGAAGAATAAAATGAAGAATAATGAAAGAAAAATTTGCTGCCCCATGCCAAACCTCATTCAATGTAGTAGTACTCCTTTGCTGGGGGAAACTAAATAAGCACAAATTTTATAAGTGCGAACTGACATAATTACAAACTGGCATAAGTGTGAAGCAGTTTCAAAAACTGACAAGTGCAAACTGACATAGGTGCGCCAAAGAATTTGCAAACATTGGCATAAGTGCAAATCGGCATAAGTGCGAAATGCCATTTTGTTAATATTTTCAATTTTATTCAGTGCAAAAAAGTTGCAAAAACTGACACAACTCCAAATTGGCAAAAGTGCGCCAAACAAAATTGTAAAAATTGATAAAAGTGCAAACTGGTATAAGTTACAAAACTGGCACAAGTGCAAACTGGCATAATTACAAATTGGCATAAATGTGCCAAAAGAATTTATAAACAATGACATAAGTGCAAACTGTCATAAATGCTAAGTAGTTGCAAAAACTGGCACAAGTGCAAATTAGCATTAATGCGCCAAATAAATTTGCAAACATTAGCATAAATGCGTATTGGCAATTTGCACTTATGTTAATATTTTCAATTTTATTTGGTGAACTTATGCCAATTTGCATTTATGCCAGTTTGCACTTATTACAGTTTTTGTAACTGCTTTGTACTTATGACAGTTCACACTTATGCCACTTTGCACTTATCTTAATGTTTGCAAATTTATTTGATGCACTTATGCCATTTTGCACTTATGTCTTACAGTGTATCAGGTAACATCTTTAAGACTATTGAATCCTTCCTTACCAATCATAATATAAAAGTTGCCTTTGATGGATAACACTCTTCTTCATTTCCTGTAACTTTAGGGGTTCCTCAAGGTTCTATCCTGGGCCCTATTCTTTTTTTGATTTACTTGAATAATCTCCCAGAAGTTCTCACATCTAAGGTGGCACTGTTCACTGATGATACTACCATTCATTCTTGTCTTAATAAAAAGCCAACACTCTGATTGTTTAGAGGGGGCATTTGAACTTAAAAAGGGTTTTACTTCTGCTGCAGCATGGGGCTCTCAGTGGCTGGTGAACTTTAACTCAGATAAAACTCTTTTTTAAAAAACTTTTTACTGTGACTGTTCCTAAATGCTACAAAAAATCTTATTCATCTAGTTTTTTTCTTCGAACATCAGTTCTTCGGAATTCACTTCATTCATTTTGTTTTACTGATTCATATAACTTGCAATCTTTTAAGTTGTCTGCTAATCGTTATTTTGCTTTATAAACTTCATCATTTCTCTTCCAGTAACTTCTAACTCTAATACTGGTTGCTTGCAACCTTGTTGAAAGTGAAATGATTTTTAAAAAAAGCAAAAAATTTAAATATATAAATAATATGTCAACACTAAATGTTGGTAGTTAAATATATTAATAAAATGTCCACACTATTAATTCAAGCAAGTTAGTTCATTTTACTATTAATTTCTGATACAAAAATAAATTCAAGGAAGTTGATTTATTTTTCTCTCAAATGCAGAGAGAGAAATTATTCTTAAAATCCTTAAATCATATTTAGTTTAATTTTTGAAAATTTCTCTTCTTTACAGATCGATAGTTTACAACTTCAGTTGCAAATGTGTACTATTGCAAAAGAGCAATTTGAAAAACAACTGCATGAAGCTTTGGATACTGTGCGTGAACAGCGTGAGCGAAATGCGCAGCACTTAAAAGAAATACATGATTTGAAACAAAACTCCATTTTGAAAATGTGGGAAATAGGGAGAGGAGAGGTCTTTTCATCATTTGAGCAAGAGCATCCGATTGTAACAAAAATTACTGAAGAATATAACACACATCATGTAGTTCCTTCAGCAAGTAATGATATCGATTTTTTTCACTTCTTTTTCAAACCTTGGAGTATTTAAAGCAATATTTACTTTATATAAGATTTTGAATATAGATTTTGAAATTTTTTAATCTTGCAGTAAATACATTATTATACCTACTCTGGCACTTATTTATATAGTTATGTTTGTATCTTGTAGCAAGTACAACTTACAGTTTGTACTTGCTATAAGATACATGTTTTTCTACTATAGATAATTTTTTCTTCTTTTATAGATCTTGTGGACGATTTAATGAAAGAACTTCAGTCAAGTGAAATACGAGAGCTTGAAGAACAACTGCGTCAAGCTCAAAAAGAAAAACACGGCTTAGAATTACAATTGACTACAAAAAGTAATGTAGCAGAGCTAGAAAAGAATACTTCAGAAAAATTTGATCAAAATGAATATTACACTAATAACCAGTTAAAAGAATTATTGGATTTGAAGGAGGGTCTGAAGCAGTATCAGAGTCGTGAGCTTGTATACCAACTGGAAATAAAACAACTATCGGACCAATTGGAAGAACTGAAAGAACTTCTAATAGAGGTTGAGAATGAAAAAAATACACTCGCAATTAACAGCAAAGATGAAAGTAAACAGTTTTCAAATGACTTATTGGATGCAAGATCAAAGCTGCGAGAGTCTGAAACAAAGATCAAAAGTATGCAAGAAGATATGAAACGTCTTAAAGAACTAACAGGTGAGTATCAAACATGTTTACACTGTGCACAAGCAGAGCTAATAACCATTAGTCAAGATTTGGTAAATGTATTGAAAAAAGCCAATTATACTGGTGAAATAGTCACTTTTGAAATCAATAACGAACATCTTAAAGTAGGGGATCCTGGAGTAATTGTGAAGCTACTGAATCATGTTAAGCAACAAGAAAAAGCGTTGGAAATTGTTTGCAATAACCTAATAAATAGTAATTCTGGGATTAATCCATCTTTAGTGAGTGATCAAGCTCTTGAAAATGGTTACTTAAAAGAACAATTATTAAAATGTCAATCATTACTAGTCGCTAAGCGAGAACAAATAAGTACCTTGCGTACAGTATTAAAAGCCAACAAAGCCACTTATGAAGTTGCATTGGCTAATTTAAAAAGTCGGTACGAGAGTGATAAAGCTATACAAAATGATGTTAGTAATCAGTTAAAACGTCAAATTAAGGCTCTTAAGTCAGAATGCCAAACTTTTGTTTCCTTACGAAGTATGTTTGCTACTCGGTGCGATGAATACATTAAGCAGCTAGAAATAAAAGACCAAAACATTGCTGCAGCAGAAAATGAAAAACAAACGCTTAATATACTATTAAAACAAGCGATTCATCAAAAAATTTGCTTGACGCAACGTCTTGAAGAGTACGAAATTGCGCGCGAACGCATTCGACAGTTTACTAAGTCGAATTTAAACAAAAATGTAAATAAAAAACCTGTTTCACCAACTAAACCGATAACCAGAGTTTAGTTTTTCATTGCTTTTACTGCGTTAATTATTAATGATTTTTATTTATAGAAAGATTGTTTACTTCAGTTGAAATTTATATTGAAAAATGGATACTGTTGTAACCTTGTTGCATATATTTATATATGTGTGTGTATATATATATTGTAAAACAATGAGATATGTTTATATTGAAGAAAGGATAATTTAGGTATTTATGTATAGTTGTTATATATAGGAATTTATTTTAGCCATAATCTATATTTATATATTTATACTGTATGCATGTTTGTATTACTAATTAGTTAATAGATGTGCAGAAGGCTAAAGCAACCCATTTCATTGTCTATTTATATTTTTAGCTCAAATGGACGCTTTGTTCTACTAATTGACTAAACGGGTTGTGCTACTCATGATTACCGCAGTGCTATGTGTGTGTATATATATATATATAGAGACACATGCACATACTTTTCTTAGTATTTTAACTGAATATTTTTAATCGTTCAGAAGATTAGCAGTTTTGAATATTTTTAACTTTTTACTTTTTTTCCCATTAAATTTTTTCTGTTCTGGTGCTGGAAAAAAGAAAGGTTTTTAAAAACCTGTCAGAGTACTCAAGATTAGTCTTAATCTTATTATTTTTGGCTCAGATTTTACTCGTTTTGTTGTAAAAGTCCGAAGATACATTTTTTATTCTTTTAAATCATAAAAAGTCTTAACCCGGAATAGTGCAAAATATTTAAAGTTTTATGATTTATAAGTCAAGTACGAACATCAACGAATTTCTTGGGAGTTCTATTAGATTTAAATATAGGGAAAAAGCAAGTAAAAATTTAAATGCGTTTAACGTGTCAAGGTTGCTGAAAGAAAAACTTCATTTAGCAAATTACACTTGTAACGGGTGATGCGTAAGTTATCCGACAAAGTAAAAACGTCAATAAGCTATTTATAAATGAAAAAAAACTCTTATTATATTTTTTTAAAATAAAATATTTATCTTTATAAAAACAAGTTATTTTTTAAATTAAAAAACACCACCATCTGCAAGTGATCTCAATTTTGCTCTGACGCCTTTCTTGTAGTTTTTATTTAATTCAATCAATCAAAACTAGCTCTGTTGAAGCTTGCTAATATTCCTTATAAATCTTCTGTGCTAAATATACTCAAAAGTTTTCAATTGGTCGTGCTTGAGGCACATTTTGGGGGATTGGGTTCTTTATCAACATAATATATATATTGGTCCATCCAATTTAGAGAATCTTTAGAATGATGAGCATTTGCTAAATCCAAAGTAAATAGTTTAAGACTCCATGATACTTGTGAATGAATGCAAGAAGTCTTTTTTCTAAACATTCATCAGTATACATCGATGAATTAATTGGAAGTGCGAAACAATGGCTCGGACATAGCACGGTCAAATATGGCTATCCACATAATAGGGATTTCTCTTTTCCTATAAAAAGAACACTTTCTGGGCATGTTTTTTGTTGTTTGTGTAGTATCCAGAATTTCCAGGCATGTTGTTCCCTGCAAAACAAGAGCATTTTTCGTCATCGATGACCAAAAGCAATTTTATGTTAGAGTTTGTTGACTAGTTTCCTGCTATATTTAAACTATTTTCCCTTCTATATTTAATATTAATTTTTTTTTTAAATGACGACGAATTGTTGATTGGTTTACACCGAATTTAACACATATTTCTGACTGACCCTTTTTTGATTGTTGACAAGTCTTGTTAATTCGGCTTTCTTTTCTCTATTCCAGGATTTTGGACGACCAGTGTGCTTTCTGTCAGAAAAGGATTGAACAGTTACAAGTCTTTTTAGCGGATCATATATTGTACTTCAAGCAAATCCTTCCTTTTCAAAATAATTTACGATTTCTTCTTTTTTTACATATAAATTAATATATATATATATATATATATATATATATATATATATATATATATATATATATATATATATATATATATATATATATACACATATATATATATATATATATATATATATATATATATATATATATATATATATATATATATATATATATATATATATATATATATATGTATATATATATATATATATATATATATATATATATATATATATATATATATATATATATATTAATTTATAAAAATAAAGAAAACAACTTTTTATGGTACTAATAGTTTCATGCCTAAAGGCAATCATGTAATACAAAACAAGAAACAAAAAAAACCGTTAAAATATAAAGTTACAGTGGAGAGTGCTCCGTCGTCAAAACAAAAACAAAAAATTAAAAACGGCTGCCTAATCACCCGTATCGAAATTCGAAAGAAGGAATTTGCTTTTATGTCTACATTTAGATACTAATTCATTCCTTTTATTTAATAAGTTATCATAGGTGTACGATATTATGAAATACTTTTCGTATAGACATAAGTTCCATCGTTTTATTGTCGGATTGTAAGATCTACAACGCTTTAAAATTTTCCATTTAATTGTCGAGTTTACTCCATTTTCTTTTAACTTCCATACTTCCTTAGACAACTCAGTATCGTTTTTATATTTTTCGATGTTAAAAGATTTTGTATGATTAGCGTATCTAAGTTTAAAAGCAGTTTCACTTACTCCAAAATACACTTTTTCAATCCCGTCTGGAGTGCCTGGATATAGAGTGGCTTGATACACTATGTTATTAACGAGACACTGTTGATTTAAAGGGCACTTGCTTTTAGTAATACAATTGCAACTTTTATCTGATTCTGGGGGGATGTTTTTCATAATATGACGGTTATGAAAGTTAACGATTGATTTAATGTTTGGCATGCAACTGTAACTCACCTTTAAAGTATTTCTATTAAAAATCTTGCGGTATTTATGTCCAACTGGAAAGTGCTTGTCAATTAAATCCAAAAAGATTTTACCAATTTTAGTAGAAACATTTTTACTATATGGGGGGTTAAACCAGATTATATTGCGCTTACGGTTTTTTGGTAGAGGTTGAATGAGTTTCGGAATATAATTAAGTTTAAATTTGTAACCAGACTTTTTTAATGCATCCTGATACAAATGAGCAGAGCTTCGAAAGCTAGTGTCATTAGATGAATTAGCTGACAACCTTATTCTATAGAACGAGGAAGTTGCTTTATTATGCTAGGAGGGTGATTGGAATCAACATGTATATAATTTAGTTCATTGATTGGTTTACAAAATGGTCTAAAAGATTGATCATTGAGCTTAAGTGTTACATCAAGGAAGTTCACAACTTTCATGTTACATTGTATAGAGATAGAAAGATTGTTATTTTTAAAAATTTGAATAATATGTTTTTTTATCGTGTCCATAAGGTGGCCACTAGCATTTTTAAAAACCGCTAAACCATCATCTCGGTATAAGCCAAAATCTGTCTTGTTATAATGCTGGGATAGCTGAAAAAGAAGAAAAATTCCGACAAGCTCACATACTTCTGCACCGTCAAAAGCACCCATTGCAACATCAAACAAACCACTGTTCTTTTTAATCCAAGGTTGCTCATTATTAAACAACAACGATTTTTCGAGCTTGTTTAATTATAAGTTTGTCTTCGTTTTTAATGGTTACAAAATTCTCAGCAAATTTAATGGCATCATTCAAAAGACTTTCATTGATAGAAGGATAAAAATCAACAATGTCAAAAATGAAAAATTTATAAAAATGCTTGTTTTTAATACCTTTGAACCAATCTAAAACGTTTTGCGTGTTTTTTGTATTTTATTGAAAATACAAAATATTATACAATATATATATATATATATATATATATATATATATATATATATATATATATATATATATATATATATATATAAATATATATATATATATATATATATATATATATATATATATATATATATATATATATATATATATATATATATATATATATATATATATATATATATATATATATATATATATTAGGTTTATTTACAAATAACCTTTTGAGTTGCTTTCGAAAAAATTCTCTTTCAGCTGCATTTAACCTCATTTGATTATTACAATATTTTATTATTTTATTTAACTTGCTTTCTTGTTGGTTTGTTTGTTTTTGTTTTTTTTTTTGTTTTGTTTTTTTGTGTCCGCGTAAAACAAACACGAGGTAACAGTTAAGCGGTAACAGTTAAGCTAAACTAAAACAGTTAAGTTAAAAAAGAAATCGTTATGAAAAGTAATTAAAAAAAGCAATAAACAACAAACTTTTGGCGTTTTAAGCCCGTTCTCCAATCAGAACTTTTTGCGCATGCTCAAATAACTTTTCTGCCCCTCCTAAGCGCAAATAGTTCTGAATGGAGACAAGCTTAAAGCTTGTTCTCCATTCAGAACTATTTGCGCTTAGGAGGAACGGAAGAGTTCTTTGAGCATGCGCAAAAAATTCTGATTGGAGAACGGGTTTAAAAAAACTGTTTGCGCATGCTCAAAGAACTTTTCCGCTTCTCCAAAGCGCAAAAAGTTCTGAATGGAGAACGGGCTTTAGTTTAGCGTAAATAAATAGAATTGCTGTAATAATTTTAAAAACTACAATGCTTCCAGAAAGTATTAGCGCACTCATATTTTTTTATTTACCTCAGTGAACTTAAAATGAGTGTAATTCGAAAACAATATAAGGCTGATTGATCTTTTTTTTTTTTAACTTATTCATAGAATAAAACAGATTTACTAATTGTTAAATATATAAAAGTATTTCTTTATTATTATCTTGAATTTAATTAGAATACAATAAGAGTGATAAAAACAATATTAAAAAGTGTGCAAAAGTATTTGCGAACTTACAATTTTTCAAAGGTTCTAAGAAAGTTTAATATTTTATGTGGCCCCCTTTGTTTTTAAGGCATGCCAAGACTCTGTGGCATAGAATCTATAGTTTTTTGATTAATTCTTGTGGCACTGTATTCCACAACTCTTGCATTTGCGTTTTAGCTGCACCAAGTTAGTGGGCTTGCTTTTTTGTAATTTGCAGTCTATCCAGCTCCAAAAATTCTCTATAGGATTTAAATCATGCGAGCGAGCAGGCCAATGCGTTAGATTCAACCGATTTTCCTTCCTGTATTGCTTAATTGAGCGTGCTGTGTGTATCTCCTAACGACAGCTCTTTTCTTGCGATTAATATTTTAAAATTTGACTCGTCCGTGAAAATTACTTTTCTCCATTGCTCTACAGTCCATGCAGCTCTCTCTTTGCACTATTTTCTTTGCTTGAGACGGTCTTTGATACTTATTAGTAGTTTCTTTGTTGCAAGGTATGAATTGAATTGCTATTTCTTTATTAGCTTGCTAATTGCTGATCTGCTAACTTGATGTCC